GGATGGTTGTGGGGAAGGCTGCTGGGTGCTGGCACTGGGGGAAGGTCCGTATTTCATTCAGATTATTTCGCTATTCCCCACCTAATAGAGAGCGCTGCTAAGAGCTGCCCGATGAGCAGCGTACTGATTTGGTTAACATGCTCTACAAATTGGACTCTCCCTGGGGAGTGATAAACATCTTATAAACAACAATGGGAGTAGATTAAAAAGAACGCTGAGCGTTGAATTTAATTAATGCCACTGCTGAACAAGAACTACTTGTTTGTGCGCGAGTGTGCTCGAAGTGGAGGAGAGCTCGGAGGAATTTGGTTGGGCTCCCAAACCAGTCTGCGTTCCCATGCTCGTCAGTTTGGCATAGAAATTTGGGCAGGTATGTGACGAGGTGAAAATTGACTTGATGAGCGAGTGGCAAGGAGAGCCATCAATCATTGGGGGCTGACAACTCCTCCCCGAAGTGTAGGCTGAGAGGAGAGACAGAGTTCCCTTTCAAGGGGAAAAATAAACACTACGTGTGGCTTTCACTGAGTCTGAGACTCCGGGAGGGATTATGGTATTGTAGTCAGGAAGCCAGAATTGTGGAGGCCAAAAAGCATGCTGGGGCTGTGTTCCAAACATTGAGATAGAGGTACATAATTACCCAGCGCAGGAGGTCCTTCCAGGGAGCCGTCCCCTGGTGACTGTGGCTATCAAACTATGAAAAGAATTTGGGTTCGTTTTGTCTTCGTTGGACTCCGCTCGGTTTGGGAACGGGCAGCACTTGAACTGTGATTGTAGAGTTGGGTTCTGTGGATGGACCCAGGGCTCCGACTGGCACTTTGCTGCACCTTTTTGAGCCTCTGCTTTGAAATTCAGTGTCGCCCTGCGGAGGAAGAGTCCCTCCGTGCTGCAGTTGGATGCTCAGTGCAGGAGCTTTCAGCTGCCTCCAGGTGAGCAGTGCTGTCAGGTGGCCTTGGGCTGCCGTCCGGGATGGGAGCTGGGGCAGGACCAGGCACACTCTCTAAATGGCATTGAATGCAGCCTGAAAGTCCTGTGCTGCAGAACTGTAGGTGGGATTAACGCTGTTTAGAAAAGAGTCTGGGATATATGCTAGCATTCTGGTATGTTTTCTTTTTGCAAAAAATATGGTTAAGCTTTGCATTTATATACATAGCCTTTAATCAGGCTTTACAGGATGATTTATGGAAATTAAATTAGCTTTACCTCCAGCCTGTTAATTAGGATTTATACCCGCTTTACAGCTGGATAAACTGAGCTGCAGAGCTGGGGCCGTGGGCTGTGAGTCAGAGGCTGAGATTCGTCCTGGGGACAGAACTTTGGTTCCACACCTGCATTGCCCTCTCATAGGGTGGTGCTTTGTGGGCTCTTCTCCAGTGTCTGTGAAGTGGTTCTGCTGGAGGTGGAACGGTTGTGCTCTTGTGGTCTCGTGCTCTGCTTCAATCTCTGAAGGAGCAGCGGAGCATTGAGCTGGGATGGGAAAAGATTGCCCCAGAGCGTCAGAGGTTCACCTGAAATGCTGCGTATGAACCGTTTCCCCAACTTGATCTCTTCTAAAATCTGCTTCTGCTGACCCTGGGAGTTCCAGGGGTGCCCTGCAGAATGCCTGTCCTCGGTGCTGGGAGCTGGGGTTGGGTTCCAGCCCTGAGCGAGAGGTTGAAGAAGTCTGAATACACTCCTTAATGGTGGACTTCATAAAGGGAGAAGGTTTGTTCATTTTGCTGAGTTCTGCAAACTGTGGTACTGCAGGTCAGGCTTCTTTTTTCCTCCTCTATTTAAGGATGGGGGCAGGAGGGGACAAAAGAGGTTTTATGCTATTCTTTCCCCAGGACCAGTGCTCTCTAAGCTTCAGTTGCGTCTCATTACTTCTAAGATGAATTATTGGCTGGTTTGAACAGCTTGCTTGATTTATCCATTGGCAGTGGTGTGCCACCTTGTGCTTTTTGGGGGGAGAATACAGTGTAGTTGTCAGGGTGAGCTGTTGGGTCACCCTGTGAGGATGATCTTGTGGTGCTTGTGAGGTCCCCTAAAGTTTCTTCTGCTTCTCATCTCTCTTCCATCAGCCCATGGCAGTGCTAACAAAACACTCAGCTCCATCTATTGAAATTAATTTCATGGTGAACGAAATGAACTTCTATCTGAAACATGTATTAATAAGGACCTTTGAAAAGAGGTTGTGTTCATGCATGTGTGTGCTGCACAGTTGAGCATGTAGAAGTGATACTGGGGAGCTCTTGTGTGCAATTCCTGCCCAGGTTTATGTGGCTTTTAATTGCTGGAACGCAGTGTAGTTAACCAGTACCTCTGTGAAGATGGGTCCCTGTTACCTGCATGGGGCGCTCAGATGTTGAAAGGCTGAGGTGGAAGAGGGTGCACCTATAGGAGAGCTGGAATTGTTGAGGCAAAGTGAGGTTTTATGGGCTGTCTGAGCCTACGGAGTGTTTTTCAACTGTTATTATAGTGGAAAACTACTGAATTATTGAAACTTCAGCTGCCTGCAGAGCTGCCTCGGTGAGGGAATGAAAAAACTTACATAAACCTTCAAACAATAACAAGAATATAATTTGTATAATTGTGGTAATTTTGCAGCATTACAGGTTATGTGTCTGTACATGTGTGCGCCTTTATTATTTTTTTTAAACTGTATATTTTTCCTGTCAGTAAAATAGCTCTCTAAATACGTGCTGAGAAGTGATTTTGTGAAAACAAGGAGGACTTGGTTACACCTCGGGTGATGATGGAAACTGCTAACAGAAAATGAAAAGTCACTCACTTTTCACATATACTTGAAGCTGGAAAAGTATTTTTCCCATCCTCCTCCTCCTCCTCCCCTCTTCTCCTCAGCTCTGTTTGGGGCTTTGTGGGGTTTTTCAGTTTGCATGTAGGATGGTTTTGCTGACAGCATTTAATCTCTCTCCCTGCAGCCGCCGCCGTTCCCGGTGAGGAGGGATTGCCCTGGCCGAAGGCACTGCGTTCTGTCCATGCTCCTGTAGAGGTGCTCAGATGGGATTAAAGTCCACATGGAGATATGGAAACGGACCAGGAACTTACTCTAAAAAGATGGTCAGCTGGGATTTGGGTTGCCTTATCTGCCTGGTGGTGGTCACCATGGCTGGACTTTCCCTGGCTCGACCGTCATTTAACTTAGTTGTTGAAGATGCCACTTTGGAACCCGAAGGTAAATCATTCTAGAGTGCTTAATTCTGCAAAAGGCGTTAATTTTAAATACGTCAACATCTGAAATTGAAGTCAACAGCTTTATGTGCATTGGTAAATAGAAGGCAAGTAACAGATTTGCCCTCAAGAGTTATGTTTTCCAACTTTCCCTATTCACACGCGGACTGTGTTCATGCAAGCATGCGTTTATTTAATCTTGTGCAAGCAGTGGTGTCAATGATTTCACTTGGGACTGTCATCGCGTTGTATAATCACAGTGTGCAGCTGAAAGCTTTCAGGAATGGGTCTTTAAAGAAACCTGCTGCGCTTATGTACCTGTTATGTATTGCTCAAGAAAGGACACTGCTGGGTAGCTGTACGTCACTCTGATTTGAACTACCTGGAAAGCTGGGAGGAAAAAGAGACGCCAGTTGTTTTTAATCACGCGCCCTGATTGTTTAGCTTTGCAGGGCACTCTGCAAAGGCAGGTGTCACAGCCCTATTGGTGTTTGTGGCTGGTTGCTATAAATTTCCCTATTGTTGTTAATGTCCAGGAACAATCAGTACGCTGTCTGGATCGCAGGGTCTGGAAGTGCACATGAGGAGATCTGAATAGCAAGGAGAGATTATTGCTGTGAAAGCAAAAACTAATTGAAACCTTTGCATTGAAAGAGACGTTCCGATAAAATCTCCTACTTTGAGCCTGCACCTGTTGGTATGTTCTTGTAGGTTATCCTACCCTCAAACTTCCCAAAGTGTTTTTCTTTATAGAGCTAAGGAAAGGCTGCTTTTCTTCTTGTCCTGAGCCACTTGTATTGTGATTTTTATGGAGAGCTTAGGATCCTTTCTGCCCGCTGAACGCTCTGGGGAAAAGCAAGGCTTCCATCTTATAGTTTTGTTTGTCATTTGAAGGGCTGATTGCATTTCTTTTAACTGTCAAAACAATAAATAAACCATATTTCATCAGGCAAGCTTTCTGGGGGGAATTTGGTCTATACGTGTCCTGCTACCCATGTTCAGGGATACAGCCTTGTTTTTATTTAATTCGCTTTCACACAAAACGTATTTGTTTCTATCCACTGCCTCTAAAAATAGACGTCACCAGCTAACGCATTTCTAGAATCTCTTCCAAGTACATTTTTATTGATGGCAGGGGAAAAATTATTTAGAGACGATGAGCCCTCCTCCCTAGCAAGCATTCCTGAAAAAAAAAATTAATGCAGTGTAGCAATATTGTCGTCTGGCACGGACAGAGACTGTTGATAGCAAAGCCTCTTTGGTTCATCCCCTCCCCTTTTCAAGGTAACATGAGAATTTGAGAAAGCTCAACTCTCATCACCACTTACTGTATGATTTGTTAATTGCACATCTGGTGCCTTTTTGGCTTTTCAGAGGAGAGACAAAATAGGGATAATTCTGGTTTCGGATGAGCTGTTTATAGGGAAGTCCGCTAGTTTTAGGGGTAAATGGGGAAGAATACGATTGCATGAATCATGCAGGGAGAAGGGTTAAAATTTTTGACTTATGCCCTAACAGTTTTCTTTTTAAAAATATGCTCCTTCCATGAGGAATACCCAGTGGGTGAGAATCAAAGTGTAAACTGCTAAAAGCTACTGAAAACTTCTTCCCTGGGCAGGAATGTTAACTTTCATGAGATAATCTTAGACGTAAGAACTTGAATCATTACCAGAAAGGGGGAAAAAGAGCTTCTCAGTTAATGTTATAATATTAATGGTATAATAAGAGCCTTTATGCTGTAGAATACAGGCAATTGTGTGGGATTTATATCTGAGATTTGGGAAATAAAACCTCTTTTATGTACTTTGTTAAACCCTTCTCTAAAAAAAAACAAAAAATACCCACTCTTTACTGAATCACCTTCATTGGTTCCATCACTGCCACCCACATGCTCTGCGTGCTGAAAGGAGAACAAAACGCTCTTTTAAAAAATCTCTTCAAAGACAAAGCTGACTTTTATTGTTATTATTTTTTTTAATTTAGTGAATGCCAAACATTTTGGTCACAGCTAATTTGAGGCAGTCAGGTGCTCCAAAAACGTATGCTTTTGGTTGGGTTGCTGACTGAGCAGTCATCAGAGCAGTGACATTTTGGACCAGCTGAGAAGGTCGCCAGAGCTGTGACCTTTTGTGACATACTTTGATCTGTTCCTTAGTCTTCCTTCGTGGACATGCCCTGGATTCTGTCTTTTTTTTGGTGCTAAGTGCTTGTATTGTTGTTCTTTATTGTCTTAGTGACTCAGAATATTCAAGAAGCTGCATGCAATGTTAACAGGAATTGAGGCTGTGGCTTTTGTTCTTTTGGCTGTAATAAATAACCCCTGATTATTGAAATACAATCATCTTTTAGCTAAACACAAATTTAGGGACATTGCAACCACTTTCTTCAGGATCTGTAGTTAAATAGGGCTTTAGCACAAGCAGTATTCATCTCTTGGGGGATTCAGCTGCATAGCTGTGTGTACACGTGCACTGAGGTGCTTTGCTTTGTTACCTGCAGTATATCTGATCCCTTTGGTAGCACCCTTCTCTGAGCTGCTTTCACACAGCGTTGGGCTCTGGATCTGAACTGTGCCCATTCACTCTTATTCTGGGACACATAAAGATGCTCGTGCTGAAGAGGGTATCTTGAGCCATAGTAAACTATAGTGTCAATATTGATATCATGGGTGCCCACTGAGGGCTGGGTCCTAGGTCTCTTTATCATTGGTTGCAGTGCTTTCTTTCTTACTCTGTGATGGCAAGATCAAGGCTGAGGTGGTGTAAGCAGAAGCAGGACCTGTAGGAGCTGGTTTGGAGACTGTCAGCAATCAATTTCTGCCCTGTATCAAGTGTTTACAGATATGTTTTTTTTTTATCCCGGGGAGCACAAAGACTTTCTGCTTCTAAATATTTAGAAATGAGTCTGTCCCAGCGTGCATAAAGGAGCCATTCTCTTTCTGTGTACCCAGCCCGTGAAGGCCTTTGACAGCCAACGTTACAAAAGGGCTTTGACCGCACACATGGCTTGAAGGGTTACTTTGTGAACTGAATAATTAGTTTAGACGTAAATTTGATAAATAGCAAGCTCTCCCTTGACCTTTCCTTGCCCAGGCTGTGTGTTATCGTTCTGCTGGGCAGCTAATTTAGCCTCTTCCCCATGCAGTGATGCTGGCCTTGAGTGCCCGCTCGGAGCCCTCGCCTGGTGCAATAACAACGTGTTTCAGTTCTTTTAATTTAGGTCAAATTTCAAAGGACTAATTTAAGATTTCCACAAGGGACAGCCTAATTCTGTGTCTTGTGGAAAAAAAAACCAAACCAAAACAAAAACATCATAGTTTAAAATGGCCCTGAATGCTTGTTTGGGAATCTGCTAGGAGCTGTGGTGAGCGAGGCCTTCTGTGGACTCCGGAGCGACCAAAGATTTGTCACCTGAGCTCTATCTCAGTTCACGGACGCTGAACAACATACAAACACATTCAGCGTGGTACCCAGAGGAGTATGGAGCTTTTTGTAAGCACACTGCTTTATCTGCAGGCTCGAAGGGTTGAACGTTGCAGGTGGTCACAGCGTGGTGAGCTGCTTCGTTAAGTGTTGTGCCCCACCTGATGAGGTCACAGGGTCCTGCAGGGTGTCTCTCAGGAACCATTCTGTGATGATTCCATGACCATGCAGCGGATGGAAGGAAGGCTGAGTGGCAGTGGGATGCCTGCTGTCACCCAGAGCAGTGTGCACGCTCGGTGCAGCTGACCCTCTCTATGTTGTGGACTGTAAGGCATGGATGCACCTCTGGGTCAGGTAGGGAAAATAAAGCAAAAGCATCCAACCAGAATTCCCTTGCAATGTTGCAGTTTTCAGAAGATGAGCGCCTGCAAGTTGTGATTAACACTTCAAACTGATTAGTTAAATCTGAGGGCAATTACTACTGGCCGCTACAGAGGAATGTGCCATCCTCACAGATTCAGGTGTGGGCTGGATGCCCTTTTAGAGATCCAATTCCATAAGTTATTTGGCCCAGTGCAGGAATTGCTAGCTGAGATTCTGGGGAATTGGACAGGTAATCAGATTTAATTGGTTTTAACGCATACATTCTGCTCTGAAAATCCACTGTCCATCAGCAGCACTGCAGCCTGGAGCTGCAGGCATTGCTGCTATTTATGTTTGGTGTTGGTAGGCATTGCAAACTGCTAATGGGTCAGCATGGCAACTGTTTTGCAAAGCAGCACAAATAATTGGATATTTCAAACTTAACTGCCAATTTAAAAAATCATATTTTTTTTGTGCGTGCTTTTGTAGGGGGGAGGGCTAATTTTCTGGAATTTGATTCCTTCAGTGTTTTTTTGGAGCCAGAAGGTTTTCAAACATGCTGAGCTTTTTTTTTTTTCTTTTTTTTTTCCTTCGACCGACTCCAATGGCAACACAGTTTTTAATTTTGAAATAGTTGTTCCTTGGCAGAGGATGTGCAGTGAATTTCAGGCTATCGTAACTTTTTACAGGCAAGTTGCAAGCCTTTGAGAGCTGCCTTTACAATGGAAATGCTGACAGCCCTGGTTATGCAAGGTTGTGTATGCATGAGATGATGGACTATTGTGGTGTTGCAATAACAACTGTCGCATAGCCCTTAATGAGTGCATGTCTATATCCAGCTTTAGCTCGAATGATTGCTTGCCTTTTAGGAAATAAGTTCAAAGACTTTTTTTTTTTTCTTGGTGTGAATATCAAATTTAGGTAGAGATGGAAATGCGAGAAAAATACATAGCAACCCTTAACTGTCAGATTTTAATCTGTGAAGCATTTTGTGGGTCCTTATGGTCGAAGCTTTACAGTTGAAAGCAGAGACTTTCCCTTTTGGAAGCAGCACTCTTTAGCGATACAAATCCATATTTTTTCAAAAGAACCATCGTTCACTTAGGCAAGTTGCATCTTGTCTGCTTGCAGTAGCACACCTGGCTTTAGACTAAAAGAGAGAGCTTATTTCAGTGCAGTTAAATGCAAAATCTGTGCTGAAAATTTGCCAGAAACCCCAAGCAAGTCTAAAAAGGTGAGACGTATTGCAGCAGTGTGACCTTATTCCCTGGTTTTTGCCCAGACCTGGTCAGATAAGAGCATTTTTGGTTGGAGCGTGGTAACTTGTGCTTGGGACAGCTGTGGGGAGCAGGGCAGTGCTCAGCACAGAGCCTGTGGGGTAAACTTAGTGAGTAGTGTTCGTCTTCGGTGTGTTCTGTCTCATCTCTTAACTATCACTGGTATCTTTGGAAGGTGAACCCCTGTTTTGTGGGAACACTGAGCGCTGGTTTCCTGCTTGAGAGCATCAGAGCATCCAGCACCTAGCACACTGATGTGCCCCGTGGATTTTAGTTTGCGCTGGCTCAGGTCCTCGCCCTGCGTGCCACCTCACAAGTGACATTATCCATATCAAGGAGAGGGACAGAAGGGCAAGCTCAGTGCTAGCAGAATTCTACTGTGCAGCTTCCTTTGGCTGCCATGCTATTTTTATTTTAATTGTATTTTTAAAATTACTGTAGTGAAAGCATTTGGTGAACCTCAGAGAAGCCGAAGAGCTCAGAGATGTGACCTACTTTAATTCCCTTCCTCACATGCCATTGCAAGTTCTGTGTAATTATTGCTTTTCCTCCCCCACAAAAGAACTGGCTCATCAGTTTGGGACATTGACTGATTTTGAGCTGCCTTGCAAGCTGAGAGGAAAGGAAAGTTAGTTTGTACAAGGGGAAAACAGCCTTCGTTTTGGCAAGTTTAATGGGGTAGGCAGTGCCATGTGCTGGGGGACTGGTGAGGAGGAAAGGGAGAGGATGAGACATTGGTTGAGGAGGAGAAAATTGTGGTGTTTTTTTTTTTTTTTTTCCCTACTGTTTTCTCTCCCTCTTAGTTTTCGTGAGTTTTGTTTGGAACAGGGTTCTGTGACATCGGAGTTATCACTTCGGACTTTTTCCCAAGAGGCTTGTCCAACTTGTGGCCAAGTTTAAATGGGATTTGGGGCTGGATGCTGCGGCCAGGCGTGGTGTAGCAGTCTGTGCTCTGCAGGATGTGTCTGTAAGAGGTTAAATCACGGTTGGGTGGAAGAGGAGCGGATCAGAACACCGTGCTCCGGCTCAGTTCTTGCACGCAATAAAATGATGTGGTATATAAAGAAAACAACAACTACATAAGGTTTGCTATATTCTTTAGGATGGCCTGGAGGAATGAGCTGGGCTGAGGTGAGCAGCTGGCAGGACGGGACAGCCGGGCATCCAACCAGCTCTGCCAGTTTGCAAAGCGCCCTGCTCAGTGTCTGTGTTGCAATGTTTAATTTGTTTCAAGAAAAGCAACATTTATAATTGTGAAGGCTGCTTTAGGCCACCCGGCTGTTTTTAATAATTATTTCAAGGAGAAAAAAAAAAAAAAAAAAAAAAAAGTTTAAATGTTGAGGAGTTCCTGAGCTTGGTTGTGTTAGGCATTGTTTAATCACAAAAAAAAATAGCTGTGCTTAGATCCTATGGTGTTGAAGTACCCAGATTCAGCTGATGTTGTTTACTCAGCCGGGGAGCACAGGTATTTCAGCCGCGCGGGATTAGCACGGAGGCATTGTAATAAATCTGCGGTGCGTGGCTGCTCGCTAATAGCCCTTCTACTAACAATTCAGAAACATTCGAACCATCTTCCATTAGTATGGCACAGCGCCCAGGAGTGGCTGCTACAATAACGAGTGACCCTGGCGTCTGCAAGTTCAGAATAACCCTTTGTGGGGCACCTGGAAGGGCAGCCCTCCAGCCTGGCTTTAATTCTGTGCTCCTCCTTGCTAGCAGGTATGCGGTCCTCACTGTGCAGAGCTCCACTGCCTGCTGATTAAATACTACAATCAGTTGAAAGTCTTTTTTTTTTTTCTCCCAAATCCCACCTTAGGAAATGGGGGAAGATGAATTTCAGAGGCAGAGCGGGGAATAAGCGAGATGAGACTTCCAGACGAGCTGCTGAAATTAAAGAGGATTTGTATAGTCAAGTAAAAATGGGACCGTGTACAAAAGAAACAACTGCCGACTTGCTTATAGGGAATCTGAATAGATGTTCTCAGCCTCCAGAACTAGTGCTCCAAGGTGAAATTGTGCAATTTTTAACTTCTCAGTTGTAATTTACTACTTTTACATGTTGAATAGTAATAGTCCCAAGCACAGCCTTTGGCAAACCTGGAGAAGAAGTAGGGTTGTGTTTTTATTGTCTGGATTTATGCTGTGTTCTGTTTTGTTTTTATGCTGCTCTTGAAATGCAAATAAGGGACTTGGAGAAAAGCTGTAGATGGGAATGGATGCAAGAAAATATGGAAAACAGTAAAACCCTACTCAACTAAATATATATATGCTCATACCATTTGCTTAGGCTGTCTGTAATAAACAGAGCCTTTCCCAAGCGAACTCTAGCACTAGGCTGGACAATGAAGTTGGATAAATTGCTTTGCTACTTGGTTGGATGTAGAATATGGTCAGGAAAATTTCATATTATGCTGTTGCTGAAAGTAAAAACACCGAGCAAATGATCCCAGCCTCTTCCTGAATGTTACCTTAATGATATATGTTTCTTTTTTTTTTTTCTGTTCTTCATTTGAGATTCTGGAAAAAAGTGATACGTTTCCTTCCCCTTTGTATTGTATAATAGATTACATGAGAAGATTCTTCTGTAATGACTCTTCAGTAGTTAATTATTTTTGAGATTATGTTACAGATATGCTACGTTCATATTGTAGTTCCCAGTACTCTCAGTTAGCTTAGGGACCAGAACTCTGTTTCTTTGTGCATCTAATGGGGTTTTTGTCTTGAAGTGAAATTTTTGGAATTTGATGCATGGAACCAAAGGTTCAAATCCTGAAGCTGACCTGTAGCTTCTCATCATATCAGTGACGTATTTAAAGGCAGTGTAATCATTTTAGGGTTTTTGGTGTGGCGATTCAAGCTTGGGGGTGATTTCTCTCTCCCTTGTTACCAAGCCTTCGTGCAGAAGACCTACTGATGCTGATGTTTTACTGCTTATTTTGTCCCTCGTCTGGAACCATGTCTTACACTGGCCATTGTATAAAGAAGTCTTCATCCTGTAAGGAGCAGACCGTGAAGAACTGGGACAAACAGGAAGAAATCACAGGGCCGTTCCCAGCAGCAGGAGGTGGCCTCGCTGGTCTCTCTGCTGTTTACTTTGAACTTGGCATGCTCCATGTCTTCCCTGGCTTGGCTTCCAGAAACATGAAGCACACAGCCAAGCCCATGAGCATGTGATAGTTGGCATTTTTGATGTGTGTTATGTGGTTGTGCAGCCGTAACTCAACGATCGCAGCCATAAAGACAGGTAGGAGCAAGCAGGCTACAAGTTGTAGGAATCTTAATCTCTGTACAAAGCCTGGACACGTACAGGTTTTTTTTTTTTTTTCTGCTTCTGAGGAGTAGTCTGCTTGCTTTAAACACAGATATGGGGTGTGAAATATCAGCATGACTGCTTTGCAGCCGTTACAGCTGGGCTGTAACAACTCAAGAACCGTGGGCACCACAGGAGAATGGGGCTGAGGTCCAGTTTGGCCCTGCAGCTCATCAGGCCTGACACAGGCTCTTGGAGTTCGATCTCCCCTGGGGTGCTGCAGTTCTGAAACTGCTGGCATGCTACAGAACGTGATGCGTAGCAGATAGATGTATTCATCTGTTGATAACTTTTTGGTGCATCTTTGCTCTTGGCCCGGGAATCTGCAAGTGATGGAACTCTGCTGATCGCCAGTATTATTTGTTTTTCTAAGTCTTCAAAGTTTAAGAAAACAAGTTAGGGCC